TCTCATCATTTTTTTCCTTTCCCTTCCTTCCTTTCCCCTGCCCCAGTCCTGTGGAATTTTTTGTGTTCTTGATGGTAGCCATTCTATCTCGGTTGAGGTGAAGTCTCAGTTTAGTTTTGGTTTGCATTTCCCTAATGGCTAAAGATGTTGAACATTTTCCCATATACTTATTGGCCACTTGTACTTCTTTCAGAAGTATCTGTTCATTTCTTTTGCCCATTTACTGATTGGGCTATTCACATTTTCAATGTTGTTTGATTTTAATCTATCATTTTATTTTTGAATTAAATGTATTTGTAACATACTGCATATCATTGGGTTTTGTTTCTTGATCTATTCTGCCAATCTGTGTCTTTTGATTGGGGAATTAAGACCATTCACATTGAGAGTAATTACTAAGAGGTACTTATTCCTGTCATTGCATTATTTTCTTGTTGTTGACTTGTTTTACTTTTTTCTCCTTCTGCTTAACTTTTCATCCCATCAGATTTTTTCTCTTATTGGCATTGTTGGCTTCATTGTCTCTTTCTAGGGTATCTGTGAGAATTTTTTGTAATGCTGGTTTGATGATCATAAATTTCTTGAGGTGCTCAATGTCATAGAAATGCCTCATTTATCTGCCAATTTGAAGGAAAGTTTTTCAGGATACATAATTTGGTATTGGAAGTTGTTATTTTTTTTTTTTAGAGCTTTAAACACTATGCCTATTCCCTCCTGGATTTTAAGGTTTGTGTAGAGAAGTCTGCTATAATTCTAATGGGTTTACTATTGTATGTGATTCCTTGCCTTTCTCTAACAGCTTTTCAGATTTTGTTCCTGTGTTGAACTTATGATACTTTGAGTATAATGTGGCATGGAGAGGATCTCTTTTGCTTGTGGCTATTTGGAATTCTATATGCTTCATTTACCTGTGTGTTTATTTCTCTCCCTATATTTTGGAAATTTTCTGCCATTATTTCTGTGAACAGGTATTTTATGCCATTTGTGTTGTGTTCTGATTTTTCAGTTATTCTTAATCTTCTTTGTGTCATCTAACAGCTTTTGAATCCATTCTTCATGTTCTTTTGTTGTTTTAAGGTATCTTTGAGCAGTGGGTCTTTGAAGACATCATTGTCTTCTAGTTCTGAAATTCTGTCTTCACATTGGTCCCTTTTGTTAACCATACTTTCAATATGATTTTTAATCTGGATTTATGATTGAAACCTTTTCATGGACCCTAATTCTTTGGTAAATTTGTCATTCATGTTTCATCATTTTGTTTAGCTCATCTAGCTTTTTTTTTTTTTAGAGTTTTTTTTTAAAGCTTCTGCATCTTTTTGGTTATTACTTCCATTATTTGTTTAGTTGTATCTTATTTGCTCCCAATTGAGTAACCTGTTTGATCTTCTAACCTGTCCTGTTATCCTTTTGAGTAATTTGGGTGGATAGCTTACACTATTTTGCACGTTGGTGCCTCCTGGATTGCCTTTGATAGAGTTGGGAGTTCTGGAAGGAATTTTGTTGCATTTTCTTCTCATGTTTCTAATTGTTTTGTTTGTTTGTCTTGTATTGCGCTGAGGTTTGTGAATGCTTATAATGACTTTATTGCTAATATGGAGATCTCTTTAGTTGCTTTTCAGTGATGTACTTTGGGTATGGCTAACTATAATCCTTTGCCGCAACCCAAAGATCTGACCACCTTGGTTAATTTGGGAGGGAGTAATGCAAGGTAGTTAGCCCAACCAGCAAGTTTTCTGGCAATTTACTCTAATATTGCTAATGTCACAAAGGTAATCTGAATGTTGGCTTGCAGAGAAATAGTGACAATTATGTGACTGACCCTGTTAATAACAAGTAAATCAGCTATAGTGTTATGGTCCAAGACAAAGTAGATGTAAACATATAATAAGAACCAATTATGTCCCACCCTTAATCCTAGTAAAGAAATCTACAATTATGGTGTAAACATTAAGACAACAGGTATTGAATTACAACTAATATGTACTAAATGCAACAGATATACTCAGCTAATGGTAGAAAATAATTCAACAGTAATTTTACAGAGTTAAGTATCAAAAGATTAAAAAGCTTGATGGTAATACCATTAAAGATACAGTGTTTGGGAATGGGGGAATGCAAGAGGAAAACTTTAAAACCTTAAACTCTATGACATGAGAAGGAATAGAAAGAAATGGTACAAAGGATCTTCTTAGGTTGTAGAGGATGTTTATAGAATTAGGCAAAGTTAAGAGAAAAAAACTGATGAGAAATAGAATATAAAAAGAAATAAGAGGGAAGAAAAATAAGGAAAAAAAATCAAAGGGAAAAATTAAAAGTGAGAAGAAGAGAAAGTAAAAAATTAAGAAAAAGACATAAGCAAGGCAGAAGGGCAAAGGGAAATTCCTTAAGCCCTAATAAGCTGGTGAAGAAAGGAGGAGAGAAGAGAAAAAGAAAAAACAAAAACAAAACAAGAAAACCAGCTGTTGTAGCTCACAGATTCTTTTGGTCCATTACACTATTATGTCTTGTCCTGAAGTCCTCTGATGTCCCCCACTTTCACTTTGTCTCTGCAGATTCAGTCTTACAAGCCACAAACCAGAAGCCAAGGAGTAAGTGTAGATGGCCCCTTTTCTTTTCTGTGTTGTATTCTATTCTCTTCAATTTCTATGTGCATTTTAATTTTCTTGTCAGATCCCTGTTGGTACCTGGGGTTCTATCTTTTTAATTTTTTTTCTTCCATAAGTTGTTATTTTCCAGGGTCTGGATTCTGAATCTCAGAGAGGCTGAGTAGTTGTTGCTTACCCCTCCTCCATTTTGCCCTATTTTTGGTTTTTTGAGACAGGGTCTCACTATATAGTTGAAGCTGGTCTTGAACTTACTATATAGCTTACGTCCTGTTTTTAATCTCTAACTTTATTGACTTAGGTTTTCTTTTTCTTTTGGTTTGGCTAAAGGTTTGTCAATCTTGTTCATGTTTTGAAAGAACTAATTTTTTTCTTGGTACTGGGGGTCGTATTTGGGACCTTGCACTTGCAAAGCAGGCAGTGGAACCACGGAGCTAAATCCCCAGCCCACCAATTTTTTAATGATCCTATGTATCGATCCTGTATATTGTTCTACTGTATCTCATTAATTTCAGCTTTGATCTAATTATTGCTTTGCCTCTGTTTGGTTTGTTCTTGTTATCTAAGACCCTGAGAGTCATTTATTTGAATCTAATATTTTTATATAGGGACATATAACTATAAACTTCCCTCTTAGAACTGATTGCACTTTGTTCCAGAGGTACTGGTACTTTTTGTTTCCATTTTCATTTGATTCTAAGAATTTTTAAATTTTTTCTCTGATTTCTGCAATGACCCACTGATCATTCAAAAATGAGTTGGTGAATCTCCATTGTTTGTATAGTTTCTGTGGTTTCTCTTCCTATTGTTCTTGGTTTCATCCCATTATGACCTGATAGGATGCAAGAAACTACATATTTCAGCATTTTTTTGTATTTGCTATGGGTTGCTTTTTGGCCTAAAATAATGATATGTTTTGGAGAACATTCCATGAGCTGCTGAGAATATACATATTCTTAGTTGTTTCAGGGAATGTTCTGTAAAGATCTGTTAAGTCCATTTGACCTATGGTATAGCTTAACACTGATATTTCTTTGATGATTTTTTTTTTGTGTGTGAATGACCTGTTAGTGACAGTGGGAGTATTGAAGCCATCCACTATTATTATATTGAAAGCTATGTGTCTTTTTATGTTGAGTAGTGTTTCTTTTATAACATTGAATTCACCAATATTAGGTGCATATATATTTAAATTATATCTTCTTGGTGGATTGTTCCTTTTACCATTATAGTTTGCTTTGTAGAATTGAGTGCACCAATATTAGTTGCATATATGTTTAAATTGGTGGAGTTTCCCTTTCTTTATCTCTGACCAATTTTATCTTGAAATCTGGCGCTCAGTGTTTGCAGTAGGGCAACTCCAGAGACCCTGAGGTGTGATTATTCTGTGACTTCTGATTCTTAAGAATGACTCAGTCTTAAACAATAAACCCTTTCTCTGAATGGCTCCTGATTATTCTACTACAAAATATGGCGGGTGCTGCAGTGGATTTCCTGTCCAAAGCTAGCTTGTCATACAAAGGGAATTACTTTTGGAGTAAAATCTATACTGTTTTTACAGGTTGTAATAAGTATGGGTTTCTCCTGGCACTAATGCCACCCATCTCAATGTTTATCATTGAGATTGCCAGTCCTCTTTGGGTTTGCCTTGTGTGTTCAGAGTCAGGTCTTCCTGTTAGGAGCCAAAGCATTCCAGATGCTTTGTTCTCTTCTCTGCATTGTCTCCTGCTTTTCTATGATTTTAAGCATTCCTGATCTTTCTTGATCAGAGCTCTTTGTCTTTTTCTCCTTGTTAATCATTTCTTTTCCAGGTGCTTTAATTCTAGATCCTGGAGAAGCTGTGCTTTTCTACTGGCTTCTACTTTCTCTGTCATATTTAATCCTCCTAAACCTATATTTAAACCAAATATTTCTGAAAAGGCTCCAGAATACCCAGTTTTAAAAAATTACCTCAATCAAATAAATCCTAAAATTTACACTCATACTGAAATTATTTCAAAATAGCTTAAAAAAAAGGGTCAGGACCCTAGTTCGATCCCTGGTACCAAAAAAAAAAAAAAAAAATGGTCAGGCTGAAAATTTCATATTCATTTAAAATTTATCATACATCACTGTAAGTTGTCTGTAAAATGAAAATATCTTGAATTTGAGGAGTGCCGTGTTTTCAAAATATCAGATATGTTATTGTCATTGACTTAAACAATTTTTTGAATTTTCATAGAATCTGGAAAAATGTATTTCAAAATAGCTGCCTTCTCAGTAGAAGGACACCTGTCTCTTATTGAGAATGATTGAGAAGGAGTGGGATGAGCTTATGTAGAAATAAATCACTATCATCTTGTCTGCTTTATAGTATGAAAACATTTACTCACTGACATGTTTTCTTTGACCCTACAGTTGCTATTAATTGTGATTGGAGCTGTAGCAGTTGTCTCAGTTTTACAGCCTTACATCTTCCTGGCAACCGTACCAGTGATAGCAGCTTTTATTATGTTGAGAGCGTACTTCCTGCACACTTCACAGCAACTCAAGCAACTGGAGTCTGAAGGTATGAAATTGAATGTGCAGTGCACACTGTGGAAAAAAGCCACAGGAGCTTTGGGGAGTTCTCTATTAATACACTTTTCAAAAAAAATTTTCCTGCTTTTACCCTATATAGTAATGATTTTTGAAGTGTACATGTTTGTGAAAGGAAATTACACTACAAAGTACAAATGGATTGTTTATTCATTTTACTAATATGTATCTACAATACGCCATGCTTACATTAATCATGGGGAGTTGGTACATGTACATAACATAGTTTCTTTCTTTTTTTTATTCCCTTCCTCTCTCCCTCTTTCCTCCTTCTCTCAATCCCTTTCCCTTTTGCAAAAGATCTATTTCCCTGTTTCCTATTATCTTTTATTTTGCTTTACAATTTATTTTATATTTTGTGTTTCTCATATGAGAGAAACTGTGATATTTAAGCTCATGTGTTTGATTTATTTCACATAACATTTTGGTCTCAAGGTGCATCCATTTTCCTTCAAATGATTGTTTTTGTTAATTAATGACTTTGTGGCTTTATTCTGATTTGGAAACAAGTACACAGAATCTTGCCAGGATTGCTCAATAGGACTTTCATTCATAATTATCACTGACATAATGATACTAGCCATAATTCTCTTGGGCTTATTGCCTTCAGATCTTTCCTTCCAAATCTACTTGAACCCCTTGGTAAGCACAATTTTTCAGTAAGCCTTGACATGGGTGCATTTTCTTCTTTAAAATTTTAAAATTTTTTATTAGTTCATATTTGCAGTACATGATGATTATGTTCCTTGTGGGGAGTTGGTACATGTACATAGTGTAATCTTAATTTTATTTTTATCCCCTTCCCCCTCCTTCTGCCTCTTGGTCTCCTTCCCTTTTGAAAAAGACCTATCTCCGTATTTCTTGTTATCTTTTATTTTGCTGTTTATTTACATTTTGAATTCCTCATATAAGAGAAACTATGTTTTATTTAAGCTTGTGTGACTGATCTATTTCACTTAATATTATGGTCTCAAAGCATATCCATTTTCCCACAAATGACTCAAGTTTATCCTTCTTTATGGCAGATTGGTACTCCATTGTGTATAAATACCACATTTTTGATCCATTCATCTGTTGATGGACATATAGGCTGCTTCTTAGGGTTATCTATTAAAAATTGTGCTGCTATAAACATGGGTATTCATGTATCACTGAAATGTGTTTACTTTCAAGTGATAAACTGCTAATATATTTCTGCTTTGAAGTTTTGAGCTAACATTGCATAACTTTCTTGAGACACTGGAAAAATATTTTTAAAAGAAAAAAATTATTTCTCATCAGTTAATAATTTAGAATCAGCCAGAAAGAAAGTGCCCAATACTAACCAAGAAATATAAATAAACAATGGTAATGCTTTTGTAATAAGTTTCCATTCCATGGTACAAATAAGTTTCCTTCCATGTGCAAAGGAAGAGTAACTCATTAAAAAAACTAACAGATCCCATCTACTTAAATTATGCAACAGAGTGACAGACCTCTCCAACCTCTCCTCTTCATTTATGACATGATCAAGGTAAGTTAGTCCTTTAAAGAATCATAGCAATAGTAAATTATATTCTGTGTTTACATGATTTACATCATTTTCTATGGGAATATTTCACAGGCAGGAGTCCTATTTTCACTCATCTTGTCACAAGCTTAAAAGGACTATGGACACTTCGTGCCTTTGGACGGCAACCCTACTTTGAAACCCTGTTCCACAAAGCTCTGAATTTACATACTGCCAACTGGTTCTTGTATTTGTCAACACTGCGCTGGTTCCAAATGAGAATAGATATGATTTTTGTCATCTTCTTCATTGCTGTTACTTTTATTTCCATTTTAACAACAGGTATTACATACTCCTTAACAATTTAGCTAAGTCTATAAGTCAAAACTTATCTTTAAGCAGAGTTTGTGTTGGTTTTATTGTTAAACGATTTCTTTGAACTTCTGTGGTTTTTTTGTTGAGCAAATAATTTCCCTGTTTTCACAGCTAAAAACAACTGAGATACAGAATTTCAGATAACAAATCTATGGGTGAATAAAAAAATCTTTCGTGCTCATATTAGTAAAACATCTTCATTTCAAAACTTATAGATATCTTTATTAAAGAACTCTCTGAATAACAAAAAAGAAATATTCACCTGTATACACACACACACACACACACACACACACACACGCACACACACAGCCATACCTCCTTTCTCCTTTCCAGTATGTTTTGCTCCTTTAACCACTAGCTGGTGAAATTATTTATCTAATATGAATTTTACATGAAGAAAAACTGCCACAGAAGGGACAAAATTAGGCAAAAGTGCCATAAACCAGGTATGATGGTGTATGCTAGTATTCCCAGCACTGTGGAAAGCTGAGGCAGGAGGATCACAAGATAAAGACCAATTTGAGCTGCATAGTTAGCCTGGATCAGGAGACCCTGTTTTTAAAAAAAAAGCCATGTTTTGCAAATACAGAAGTTCTTAATTGAAGGCTTTTTGAGTGAAAAAACTTCACAATAAGTAAAATAAAAATTTATGTAGATAAAAACAAAGTTCCTTTAATAAATTGAATTTCTGAGCTATAAGAAGTGTTTATATATATATTATATATGTGACAGTGGACAAAGATTCAGAGGAAATGGCAAATCAAGGCCAACTCTGCAGAAGTGTTTGATTGTAAGAACCACAAAAAGAAGTATCAGTTGAAAGTTACAGGTAGTCTGAGCCCCAGGGGAGGCAGCACCATTGAACCCTCAGAGGGACCAAAATGGGCACTAGAGTGAAAGGTGCAGGTATCCTTCCCATCTCTTGAACCCTGGCCCTGAACTATGTGCATTCCTTTCCACGACCATTTCATTTGTTTCTCTCTCTGAGATGGGTATTATTAGCTGGGCATGTTGGCACAATCCTGTAATCACTTGTGAGCCTGAGGCAGGAGGATCGCAAGTTTGAGTTCAGCCTGGGAAACTTAGTGAGACTCTGTCTTAAAAAATAAAAAGGGCTGGTCATATGTCTCAGTGGGAAGGCCTTGGGTTGAATCCTTAGTACCACAACAAACAAACAAACAAACAAACAATGTTTTCTTGGATTTTATGGATTTTATGTGGCCTGTCAGTTCTGGCTCCTTAAATTAGTAGGAGAGTTTCTCTGTCCAGAAGGAAAAGGAAACAGGCTTCCATCAGCTTGGGGGGTCTACCTGCCATGCATCCACACAGCTATGTGAGGATAGGAAACTACACATTTGCTGTTCTCTCAGTCAGAGCAGCGACCAGTGACACTGAAAAGCATATAAATGGGCAGGAAAATTCATGAGTCGTCTACAGTGCAATCATTTCTGCCAACTTTTTTAAACTAAGGATTTTCTTAGAATCAGGATATTTAAATTTTTCTTTTAAGTTATTTGAAATAGGACAAAATTTTAAAAATGAAGATTTGCTAACAATTAATTCAAACCAATATATCATATGCTATCTCATAATGATTAAGTGTATGACAGAATCCTGCCTTTGCCAAAGCGTGTAACAATCAGCATAGTGCAGAGCCTCTCAGTCAAATCAGATGTCCAACCAGAGCAGATGTTGGCCGCCCAGCCATATCAACCCTGACTCTACTGGTCTTAGGCTCTTTTAACTTGCAAACATTAGCTTCCTCAAGTCTCTCATTTTTCTTATGTATAAAGAAAAAAAGTAATAAAACCTATCTCATACATTTATGGTGAGTATTAAATGTGATAATTTGTATGAAACATTTTGATGTAGTGCCTAGTCCACAGTAAATAATCAATACCTTATACTTCATGTTTTTATTAAAATTTTACCTTATTTTCACCTTAGCCTTCAGAACAAGTAATATATTAGATCCCTGAATGTAACTTAACTGTTAGAATGAATTATTTAGTATTAAGAAAGCAGAAATATGTGTTGTCTATGGCACAACTTCTGTCAGAGGAATTGTGAAAAGTATTTAAATTAATAGGATGAATTATTTCTCCCAGTTTTTGAATCATATGAGAGTTTTATCATGCACTATAGATTCAAGTAATACCAAATGGAAATTGCTAGCCTAAATTCATAATAAGAACATTCCTCTCACAAAATCTTTATGACCATAAGACTGAGTACTCAAGAATTTTAATTAATAGTCTCTCATAACCCTGAAAAAACATTTATTCTAATTAATCATAAAGCATTGTTATTCCCTGGTGAACTAGTCATTTTGTCCTCCCTCCTTCCATTTCTTTTTTTAGTGTAATAGGCAATCATCTTTTTCTAAATGGCAGACCCATTAGTTTTCTGACTGCCTGGTGAAGCACTAAAGCCATTTTCTTTCCATTAGACTCTGATTAGCAAAGAAATTTGTCTTTGCAAAAGTGTAAATCACATCTAAACATCCTGAAGATGTTACTCAAATGATTCCTGCCCTGCTTTTGACTTTTTGTAGAGAAGCTCATCATGATACAGGACATTATAACAAACATGATATCAACCCAATACCAACAACTCCTTCAACACCAAAAATATTTTGAAAGGGTGACTCTTTCCTAATAGTCAATCACTCTTTGATTTAAAATATTGATTGCTTGCTTTAGAAGGGTATTATTGCTTCTGTGATGAACTGAGATGAAAGAAAGATGGTTAAGATCAACATGAAATTGAACTGTAAATTTAATGTGATATGGGCCATAGAGGAGGTAAGAAGAAAGTAGTTCATAGAAGAGAAAATTAACATTGAGTACTGTTTCTGTGTGTTTTCCATGCAGGTGAAGGAGAAGGATCAGTTGGTATTATTCTAACTTTAGCTATGAATATCATGAGTACATTGCAGTGGGCTGTAAACTCCAGCATTGATGTGGATAGCTTGGTAAGTCATTATTATTTTTTATTTTATAAAAAGCCCAAAAAAATAGGAACAACATAAAGAATAACTATATATCCAATACTAGCTTAAGAAGTAAAATTTTAGAAATAAATTGATGGCCACTGTATATATCTCATTAAGCCCATATCTCATGTTTCCTCCACCTAGACCCACTGTGAAGTCTAATGACACAGTAAACATTCTTGTACATGTCTCCTTTGCAGGACAGTTTTTAGCTCAGATACATAGGAGAGAAATTGTAGGTGACAAAATTTATGCACAATTTTACTAGAGGGTGCCAAATTGCTTTCAAATCTGTTGTACCAATATATACTCCCATCAAGAAAGTGTAAGAATTCTCATAGCTTTATATCTTCAGCAATAGTTTTTTTTCTATCAGATGTTAGTGTTGGCAATATGATGGATATAAAGCGATTATTGAGAAGACAGGCAGCTTAACACATACTTGTTGGCCATTTGAGTTCCTCTTCTGTTAGTTGTTTGTTTATATCATTGCTTAGTTTTCTTTTCTTTTCTTTTTTTTTTTGGTACCAGGGATCAAACTCGGGTCCTTGTGCTTGTGCAGCAGGAGGTGAAACCACTGAGCTAAATCCCCAGCCACATTGCTTAGTTTTCAACTGAACTGATTTGGATTTTTCTTCTTAATTGATTTGAAGAAGTTTATGAATAATGTATAATGTTCAGTTTTACATATTTTAAACATAGTCTTTAAGCCAGTGACTTGGCTTATCGTGTCTTTTGTTAAAAAGAATCTTTTAAGTTATTAATTTATTAATCTTTTCCTTTATGGTTTGTACTTTTGGTATCTTCTTTAAGAAATCCTCCCCTATCTTGAGTTTTCAAATTCAGCAGCATAACATTTTTCATAATAATCTTCTCTTATTTTAAAAATCTCCATAGTCTTATTCATAGCTTCTTTCTTATTCCTAGTTTATCTTTGCCTTCTCTTTTTGCTTAATGCTGCCACAAATTTATGTACTTTATAAGTATGTACAGAGAACTAAGTTTGATTTTGTTTTTCGTCTTGTTTTTGTTCCCTATAATTCAGAGCCTGCAGTGATGTTTATGTGCTAACACTGTATCAGGGACACAAATCTCATGGCAATAAGAGTGAGAAGTGAAAAAAATCTAGGCATATTTTTCCATTTTTAGTTTAATAATCAAATGCATAATTTTTGATACGGTTGTACAGTTGGCCTGGGTACTTCATTATTGACTTCTTATAGGCCTTTTGCAGTACTAATTTGAAAACCATCCATCCATTCTTGAATTTCTAGAAGGTCAAGAAACCTATGTAAAAAATGATCATATAACACTATTATTTCACTTTTTGCTTAAATTTCTTTCTCTGTTCTCTAACAGGTAATGTGTTTTCAAACCACACACATTCACTTAATTATACAACTTGTATAATCAATTCTTATCAGAACAAAAAGCAATATAAAAATATCTCTATGGAAAAAAACCTTTTACTATATGCTACTTGCCTGTTTGTCTTCATATTTTATTGATGCATCTTAATAAATCATTAAAATATAATTTAATATTAATATGACGTATAGTTTGTTTCTTTTCCTTTAACTTTCTAGTTTGATGAGATCTTCTTAACATCTTCATTCTTTTCTTCACTTAGTTCTGTTACAGTGTGCTTTTGGAATTGGGTCGTGTAAATATATGTAAAAATGATTCTGTTGGAAAGTAGTGGGACAGTGCTAAATAAATATCGTCCTTGCATTTATTAGCTCTCTGTTTAACTTCCTACAACTTTGATTTTACGTTTTAAAATTCTTCTGTACTTTACCTGTTTATTTATCTAAAAACATCACTTAACCTTGTACAATTCTCTTTGCTGTATTAATTTTCTTGGTTTATGTAATAGCCACTACACATTGATGTCAAAACTTTTGTTCAGTAGATTTCTCTTCTGCATATCCAATTTCAATGAAAGTTCCCTTAAGGTATTTTCTCTTCTCTAGTTTTTCACCTCGGCATCCTGGGCTTTGTGACATGTGCTTTGACATTCTATCTTTCATCTCATGTTATAAAAGGACCTTACCAAGGACTCATTGTGTTATGATACACTCTGTAAAAAGTATCAACATTTGGATTTGATTTCATTTTTAAAAGTCATGTTCTTTTGTTTGACTATCAAAAGGAATAATCGAGTTTTCATTTCCCTGCCAAACAGCTCAAGTGGCCTTTCCTGGGCCTGTGTGCATTTATCTAGTTATTAATTCCCATCATACTGCTGTCACTCACACAGTTGCTAAAGTTATAAAGTAACTTCTGTATTTTCATCTTGGCATATGTTGAGAATAGGAAGAGGAGGTAGACAGAACTATGCCCTCAGATTTTATGTTGATATAATGTTCATACCAAAGATCCTGTGACTTCTGAAGAAAAATTAAGTGTTATCATTTTACTTTAGAGCTGAGTTTAAAATGAAATAAACAAGATATTTTTCTTGATATACACATTTTTTAAGTGGAAGGCTATTCAGCAAAAAGACTTTTAGAGTTGGAAAGAATATTTCATTCACTGTTTCCTCAAAAAAGGCCTAATCAGAAAATGATCAGCCACGAAAACTATATTTTATTACAGCATGCATGAAGAGTAAAACATTGACAGAACTCTGAAGCTATAAAATGACAATATAATTTTTTTTGCAATACTGGGGATGGAACCTAGGGCAACACACATGCTAGATAAGCAGTCTACCAGGGAGCTATATTCTTAGCTCTTTTTAAAGTTTTTTACTTTGAGACAGTGTTGCTAAATTCCCAGGCTGGATCTCAAACTTGTGATCCACCTGCCTCAGGATCCTGAGTAGCTAGGATTATAGCTATGCAACACCTCACTGTGTGTAATGTGGCTTTTCTTTTACCTCCCACCTGTTACTTATACCCAGGTGCCTAGATTTCTTTGGCTTTCAATTAGTCAAGATAGTTTTGTATGGTAACACTTACCAGCTATCTCAAGATACTTTGTATTTATGATCATACATCTCAAATATTAGCATTCAAAACTCCAACAACCCTTTTATTATGTTGTCCTGCTAAGTTCTATATTCTCTCAAATAGCTCTTTCACATCCTCTTGTCTGCTGTTAAGTGCTCCAGTACTTCCATCCTCTGCACTTTTCAATCAGTGGCTTTGGCTACCTGCCACATAGAAATAAGTAGGTGCAACCAGAGAGAATTCCCTCACTCCTCCCCACCAGATGCACATGTCACACACCTCTACTCAAACATCCCCCTCCTCCTCTATGTCCTTGCTCCTGTACAGGCCAATAATAGGCAGTTGGCCTCTTTATGAGAACTTTTTCTCTAGCATAAAAATATTCTCCAGTTCCCATCCCATTTCTTTTACCTATTTAAAGCAAAACTTCCTGAGAGTGCCTCTCTCCATTTCCTTCTCCCATTCTTCCCACAGCCTGCTTATGAATTTCATTTCCATCACCCATTTGCCTCATAACCAACATCTTGCCAAAGCCAATATCCTTGCAGGATTTGCCATGGACCAATGCTGAGGCTACTTACACCTCAGTTGCCTGCTGCCTCCTGGTTCTTCTTTAGTCCTCTTTGCTGGTTCCTCTCCTCTTACAGGTTTTTAAACATCAGCTAGACTCCATTCTTTTAGCTGTTATTATATGGCCCTATGCTTCAGAAACCATCTCTTGATGAATCATAAATTCCTAACTTTAGTGTAGACTTCTCTCCTGATCTCTAAAATACATTGAACTACCATTTGACACCTCCATATTCATAAAACACAGTAATAGAGTATCTTCCAGGAGACTTGACATTTTAGGACATAAGTTCTTGTATAATAGCACCTCAAAATATATCCAGTATTGTAAGAGGCCATTATAATGAGACAGAGCTCCTACCTTACCTACTATTTTGTCTGGAAGGTTAAATAAATAAATGAAGAGCCAAAAAGAGTAACAATGATGATGTTTCAAGATTAGCAACATTAGGCAATCTAGTGACTAACAAATTGCTCAAAACTCTTAGTTACCTTGCTTGAATGAGGCAGTTGACAATTCATGTCTTTTTCAGGACTGTCTACTACAGAGTGAACACAACTGAAATAGTCTCAGCAAGTGAATATTATCTTGCTTCTTTATTTTCCAAGTGAAGCAGTAGGTGACCATCTCAATTTCCAGCAGATGTCTGCCCCATTGAACTGTGTGTCTAATAAGGCAAGAGGAAGGAAGGCTTTGGGATGAGAGAGGACAATGAACCCCGAAGGGTGCACATTTAGATTCCCATTACTGAGGCTCCAGAAGGTTTTTGCTGCATGGTTGATGTAACCTGAGAAGAGTTTTCTGTCAATAGAAACTCCTATTTTTCCTTTGTTCTTTCATTGCCTGTGTTTATTTTGGGTTCCAGTAAAGATCAAGTGACTGATTGTTCAATGACCAACATGAAACCTACTGGGAGGAGAAAAGGGAAATCTGACTTTCTTTTTCATGGATCCTGATGCTTAACGCTCTTGCACTAAAAGGAGTTTCTATTATAAGCATCTAAAAGAATTTATTTCTCTTTTTTGCCCCCTTTCATGGTCTCTTAATCATGTTTCTATGTTTTTACTGATACAGAAAATTATATAGGACCTCTAAATGATAGAGGGGAAATATTATAACTCTTAACTTGTTAGATATCTGACATGCTGAATTTGTATTCCCCAAAGTCAAAGAATGAATTCTCAGGAACAATGGAGGTTAAAAGTATTACAAATTTTTTGAGGGGGAAAGTTACAGCTCCTGAGAGGCAGGAGGGGACCCAAAAGTTAGATGCTGAGGACTTCTCCGGGGAAGTTTTAGAGGACAATCACGTGGGTACAATGTGGGTTACAGGTATGATCAACCAATAAGATTATAAATATAGTCGCTTAGATAACATTGATCCAATGGGGAGCAAGTCACATACCAAGTGTACATGGAAGAAACAAAGACCTTTTTAGGGAGGGATGAATCTG